AGACTATAGGTGGATGCACCAAGATATAGGTCAAGGCTCTCACTCCATTGGAGTGACTGAACCAGATGGAACCAGTTCGTGGCAGTGTTATCTTCAAAACCCTGCTGGGACACTGGTCACACTCATCTCCCAGGATCTAGATGAACCATAATTTACAACTCAACATGATCAGGTTTTTATTTTGCTTATACCAGATAAGATTGACTGAAGAAACATTTTCAAGGTCCACTGTATCCAAATCTGCCTGTTTAAATTTGTAATCATTTACATAATTCCATGTTTGGGATTTATTGCTTTTTGAACCATTGTAAAAAAGCCAGCTGGAATTAGGCAAAGTAAAATTTGAACTGACTTAACTTTTTCACAGGCCTTTGAATACAAATACTTTAGGTAAGACTTTAGGCCCTTTCAGTAAGTAAAATGAACTAGAGACAGAAAAGGCAAGAGAGATGTTCTTTTGATAGTTTCATTATGAAAATCAGAATTTGTGTGGGGAAAATAAAGTTTTGTTTTCCTATTTCTGTATAAGAGCTATATTCTTGTAGCTGCTTCTGTGGCCTGTAACTTTTGAAACCAGCAGTTAGCATAATGGCTATGTCGCTGGACTCCCACGTAGTCGACCGCGGTTCGTGTCCCGGACCCGGTGGCTTAAAACTCACGCCGGGCGCGTGTGCGTGCGTGCCCAAGATCCCGAGAGGAGAATGGAGGAGAAGGGATTGCGGCGTGACCATCCCCCCTGGGGGGTGATTTCTCGTTTTCTGTCTCTATGTCTCTCTCTGTCTGTCTGGCGAGCGCACACGCCCTACAGTGAAAATCTCTCAAAAAAAAAAAAAAAAAGAAAAGAAAAAAAGAAAAATAGACCTTTAGTTTAGGATTCTATGTAACAAGTTCTAGTTCGATTTTCCAGACATCTTGCACAGTTTTGAATAGAGTAGTAAAGATAAAGACAAGCCTGCAAGAAAAAGTAAGCTTTTCCTTCATAAATCCATGGAGAATGTATGTGAAAAAGCTGACAGACAAAGGTTAGTGCAAACTCTGCCTTATGACTTAGAACTTCTATTTAAAGATTTTAATTAAAAGATCAGATATTTTCAAAATGCTTACTTTGCATTCAGTTGATTTATTAGCAAATTTTAGGCTGCCAGTCCAGACCTAGAAAACCCTCATCAGGAAAGAGCAGTGAAGTGTAAATGCACTAAAATGTGTCGCTCTGAAGGTCGGAGTCTGGAGACCCCCCCGCCCGAGTATGGTGGCACGGCTGAGTCCATGATTAGCCACTGGCTGAGGTTGGAGAGGGATCGCAGCATTGAGACCCTATTGAGGATGCTGTCTCTCTGCCCCTCTCACTGTATCTCTCATTCTTGGGAGAAATAAATAAACAAAACGAAAGAGATATCAAGCAAGGAGAGAAGGCTTTAGATCAAGAGGGCTTTGGTATGAGGCCAACATTATTTTCCAGTCCCAGCTTCACTGCCCATGGGCTGTGTGACTTAGGCAAGTCCCTCACTGTCACTGAGCTTCAGTTTGCTTCTCGGTGGAACGCCATCCATCTGCAGGGCTGCTGCCATGTCTAGAAGTCTCTGCTGTGTCTGGCATGCAGTTGGCACCGAGGGAATGGAAGCTGTGTTGCAGTCATCAGCTCCTACCCCATGGCTAGGGGCAGTGAACTCGCAGCTCCTCTGTTCCAACCTCACAGATCTTATCCCCTGCAACCCTCACAGGTTGACTTGAGCAGATGGGACTGAGAATCAAGCCTTTGTGGGGTGTGTGTGTTAGACCATTTTTTTCTTTCTTTATTTCTTCAGAGAAAGAGAAAGAGACTCTCAACATGGTCCCCACACTGTGACCCACCCCATTCCCAGTCAGTCGGAACCATGGGCACACACATGCACCCACTGCGTGCACAGGGACACCTCAGGACACCAACTCAGGATTTCCCACGTGGCCCCAGCATTGCGGAGGACCATACCACTGCAGTTGGCCTCTGTATGTTTTTTAAATGACACTGGCCCTTGTGCACTCATGGTCACACCTCATGTTCTGTATTAGTTTTAAACTTGGGGATAGTCCCTCCTCAAACTCCCTTCTCTATTTAATGAGACAGAAAACTTACTCTGTCTAGGGATTCAGTGGTGACCCCTCTGGTGACTGGTTCATTTGACTTAAAACAACTTGTAAAATGCAGGGAATATAGAAAAACTTGTGAACTGCTCTTCTCTCTACTTATCCTCAATTTGGCTTCCCTGGATCACTTTCCACTCACACACTTTGGTGCTGCTTTCATGTAATGGGATGCATATGGAGCTGAGAGTGAGGCGAATCAAAAGAGCAGAAAATTCAGAGCTACTTACGAGAGGCCAGGACACCTCACGTTTAACATGGTCTTGTTTCACAGCATTGATGTATAACTGGGGCTGACAGAGGTGGAATATACTATATTAATAAACATGAGAAGAAAACCGCTGAGCATTCCACATGGAGGGCAGGCATTACAGCTGGCTGACTTCTGATTGCTTTTATTTTTAACTGCGATGGAGTAGGCACAGGGACCTGTTCCATGCCTGTTTCTTCTTGTTCTGACTATGGCAGTCACGCCCAGTGTAGCTCCAGCAGCAGCATGTCCTGCATGGGGAGGGTAACTGCTGCCCATAGCCATGAGTTCACTAGGCTTGCATTTGAAGGGGTTAGTTTTCATGCACCAGGTACTTCCTCCTAGGCCATCTCTTTTTATCATCACAACAGCCTTCTTGGGTCAATGTTATTTATTATACACTGTGTCAGAGATGAGAAAACTAAAGCTAAGAACTGTGGAATAAAATCAAAATTCAAACCTAGCTCCCTCTTACCCCAAAGACCATGTCACACTGTTGCCACGGCATCACATTGGCTTTCCATTTTTCAGGGAGTATATTTTGCTTATAAAAATCAGGTGAAGATGGGGACCAGCAGGTGGTGTGGAAATTAAGGCACTGGACACTAACACATTGCTGACTACAGTTGAGTCCTGGACCTGGTAGCTTGGTTTCTCACTTTCCCTCTCTTTCTCTCTCTGTGTCTCTCTCTCTGGTCAAATTAAAATAAATGAATGAATAAAAAATTGTTTGGGGAAGTTTTTGCTATAGGGTGTGTACACTTGCCAGAAAGACAGAGACAGAAAGACAGAAAGTGAGGAATCACTCCCCGGGGGGGATGGCCACGCTGCAATTCCTTCTCCTCCATTCTCCTCTTGTGACCTTGGGCACGCATGCACATGCACCCGGCATGAGTTTAAGTCACCAGGTCTGGGACTTGAACCACGGTCCACTACATGGGAGTCCAGTGACAGCCATTACGTCAAGTGCTGGTTCCTGAATAAATAAAATTAAATAAGTTTTCTAAAAATATCAGGTGAAGATTTAATAGAATGTTGGCACCTAATTATTTTTGTTGCATAAATAAAATTTTGCATCATTGTAAACTGGTTCAGACTTAAAATCCGTAGGAAGACAAGCTGAAGGATGGGGTGTCTTTGTTCCCTTGTGCTCAGTGGGGAGGCAAAAGTCTGCCTTCATCTCCATTCTAATTATCCAAAACCTCTTATCTGCTGTGTCACAGTTCATAATAATTAATCGCCACGCCAGAGGCATTGTGACATGCTTGATGGAGTCATGGTGTGCTATGTACACAGAGTAATTAGCAATCATTAATGGTGGGGACTGAAAGTTCCTGGTGGTTTAATTTAAACTTTCTTTTGGTTAAGTTTATCTTGGTTTTCTTTGGGCATAAACACAGTTTAGCAAATCAGGTTTTAGCTGAACTGCTTTCTGAAGGATTGAAGTGGAAATGTTGGGAAGAGAATGGAATGATTTATTTCTGTTCTCTTTATTTGTGTAATGAGCTTCTTGTCTAATCATTTGAGTACGTAGTTCCTGACCATTGGTTAGCATCACTAACTTTAAATATAGATCATGTTAATATTTGCTAAATACAACTACAAATCTAAAACGTCAGTAGTCTGCCAAAGGAGATTAGGGCATGGTTTCTAAAACGGGAAAGAGAATTAGCAGTAAAAATTCTCTTTTCTGCTGAGCTGCCCACAAGAAAACCACCGAAACTGTCAAAATTTGATGCTTTGGAAAGGTTATATCTCCATTGCCCTCTGCAACAAAGATGACTGCAATAACCTTGGCCTAGAGGTGCCCAAGAATTACACCAGTAAATAAAATTTGTCAATGGAGAGAGGCAGGAATAAAGTGGTCAAGGTTTTAAGAGGAAAAAACGTAGGAAGACATTGAAAGAACATAAAACAGACTAAAACTGTATTTGCAGCCAATCTGTATGAACATATGGTTAAGTACAATAAAACTGGTTTTCATATTCCAGAGAGTTGATAAAAATAGCATACATTTGAAAAGAGAAAAACAATGTGGGTGCTTTGCAAAACACCTTGAGAACCTCCTTTTCCAGCCAGCCCAATCCAATCTTTGTGTCCTTTTTTGAAAAGTGTGTCTCACCTTGCTAACAGGTGAATTACATCGCTGGTAACACTGCCCAACCCCAAAACCTGAGGAGGGAGAGAAAGATTTGGCTGCCTGGGTACGAACAGATGATGCACAGGCATCTTGGGGAGACTGAGTCTCAGAGCTAGAACCTGTCTGGAGGCAAGTTCCCATGGTAGCAAATCCTCTTCCAGGAGTAGATGTGTCACTACTCACCTGTAGCCAGGTACGGACAATGTAACCTTCTTACTATCCCTGTTCACAGCACAGTATCCCTTCAGTGCCCATAAGTAATTAGGTTTTCATTCAGATGGGGCCTGACAAAGCCCCAGATGGTTTTATGCACAAGGTAAGGAGGATAAAAGATACAGGAGGAAATTGGGTTGTGTCAAGTTAAGATAATAGTGGGTGAGCTGAGAACCTCCGCTCCTATTTGGGACACTCTAGTCCAAGCCATTGACAGAAGGAGAGGCAGCAATAGCAGCAGTTTGCTGGTCAGAGGGCAGAAGGGAGGCAGCCTACCTGCAGGAGGATGCCCCCCTTTCAGCGGGGAGAGGACTTGTGCTTCGTTTGCCATAGCGCTGCCTGTTCTGGTGCTCTGGAGGCCAAGTGCCAGCTGCCCTACCGCACCCTGGCTTTATATGGGCAGGGCGGGGCCTCTTCAGGGCATTGCTGAGCAGCAACAGGGCTTGTCACCCTGCTCTCTGGGAACTGCACCTCTATGGCAAGATTTCTCTTAGAAGAAAACTTTTGCCTTCTTCCCTTCATCTAGGAATGTAAGGTAGATGTCTACAAGAGGCAGGGAATTTTTGCTTTCTTTCACATGAGGAAGGCGAGAGGCTGGAGTTGAGTGGAGTTCTTTTTCTCTCCAGTTTTTCACTCCTCAGGTATATCTAGTGCACCTACAATGTGACAGGCTCCTGTTATTTACTGGCATGGCAAGGTGGACAAGACAAGATCTTTGCTTTGATACATCCACAGTCTTTCTGGAGAGACGGATATAAGCCAAGTGCTATGCCTCTGTTCCAGTCTTTGCTATCATAAGCATTCATGCTGCAACAATGACTGGAGCTGTGTGCAGAGATAGCTATGCTAGGATGATAATCACTTATTTCTTTTCTTTCTCTGCTCTTCTCCTTCTTCTTTTTTTCTTCTTCTTCAAGTACTGTTGAGAGTCAGCATAGACATTCCCAAATACTAAGAGGTAACTAACAAAGATACAACCATGAGAGTACTATGTACACATTACAAAGCATGTTTTCAAATAATATTTAATTATTAAAAATATTAATGATAATATAGAAAGATAGTCAGCTAGAAAGCAATAGATGCCAACTTTGTTAGAAGGAAAAAGTGCAAATTTAAGTGTAGACATTATTGTGTTTCCAGTGTCAATCTAAGGGTAAGATACATAAATATCTCTTTGTTCTTCAATACAATTAAAAACTCCTGATCTTTGGGGTCAGCAGGTGGCATGGAGGTCAAGGTTCTGGATCCCACATGGCTAACTGAGTGGTTAGAGTCTTGGACCCAGAGGCTTGAGAGTCATGCTGCGCAATGCCAAAATCCCAAGAGGAGAATAAAGGACAAGGGATTGCAGCATGGCTATGCCATTTGAGGGATGATTTCTTACGTTCTCTCTCTCTCTCTCTCTCTGTCTTTCTCCAGCCAGTGCATACCCCTGCTAGTAAAACTAAAAACAAAAAACAAAACTGCTCTTCAAAAGACATTTTTAAGAAAATGAAGGCAAGCTGTAAACTTGAAGAAAATATTTGTAAAATACATTTCTGGGGGGTCAGCAGGTGGCATGGTGGTTAAGGGCACTGGACTCCCACATGGCCAACTGCAGTTCGAGTCCCAGACCTGGCTGCTTGCTTTCTCACTTTCTTTCTCACTCACTCTGTCCCTTTCTGGTCAAATTAAAATAAATAAATACATAAAATCAATAAAGTTAAATGAAATAATTTTTTAAAAAAATACATTTCGGATGAAGTACTGGCATTTAGAGGCTGGGTATATAAACCTGTGTATAAATGCTAATAACAATTTTATTCATGATTGCCAAAAGTTAGAAACAACCCAAAACTTCATCAACTATAGAATGGATAAACAAATTGTGGTATATCTACATAATAAAATACAATTCAGCAATAAAAAGTAACAACACAGATGAATCTCAAAAAACATTATGGTGAAAAACTAAAAAAACCTCACTAGATAAGCATGTGCACCCATCAGAGAGAATGTACCCCCGCCCCAATGGGTCATGGTCACTGGCTGGAACCTGAATGGTGGTTGTCTATGTGGGACCTGGCTCCTTATGCATGACCCTTAACCACTGTGGCATGAGACTGAACATAAAATTAAATAATTTTATTACTATAAACATAAATGGCTGCATGTTGCTTGGGCATGGTATTGAATAGCTCAGGTCTGGATGTGTGATTGTTTATTGCCTAGATCTTATTTATTATCCTCTATACCTGAAAGTTCCAGAAATCAGGGAGAAAGTCAAAGGGCAGCTACCCCTTAGGAAAGTCTGTAGGTACAAAGGAATAGCCTGACTGATTTGGAGAAAAAAGCACTTGGTCCAGAATATCATGGGTGCTTAAGCCAAAGAAGACTTCTTTGGAGCAACTGTTTATTGACATATTCATGGAGTAATGTTAGTCCGGCTTCCTTTTCATGTTACCCACATGCAAAGCCCTCAATACAGAGATATACATTGTGAACCTCCTCAGGGAGATTTAGCAGGCACAGCTTTTTATCATAAGGGAAGGCTTCATTCTTCCAGCCCTGAATGAAACCCTTAGAATTTGTGCTCTAGAAATCCAAATTGAAAAATTTATCTGTGTAATGGGAGTGATGGGGTCTAGGAGGAATTGGTGAAAAAGAAGTAACCAAGGAAATATGAAGAGTGTAAGTAGTTAGAATCTGGGGGCCAGCCTCATAGTGTCTTTGTTAAGTTCTGCATAGGGAAAGCTGGATCCTACATGTCTGGCTGTGTTTTGAAACCCATCCCCAGCAGCTTGAAAAACACGCTGCTAGGCACGTGTGTATCCCACCCAAATCCTGACAGAATGGAGAAATAGAAGAGAAAGGATTGTGTTGTGACCATGCCCCAACAGAGGGTGTTTTTTCTTTCTCTCCCTCTCTCTGGCAAGCATACTACCTTCTGGTGATAAAACACTAGAATCTGGTCCAGCCATGGTGGCATTAGTAGAGTGCTGCTCTGCAATGCTGGAAGCCATGTGCGAGATTTGGGTTCGGTTCCTGGGTTGACTTGTACATCCAGGTTGTGTTCATGTGTGCCCATGATCCTGACTGACTGGGAAGACAGGGAAGGCTCTTGGTTTGAGACACTATTGAGGATGCTTGTTTTCTCTCACTCTTTCACTGTCCTCTCATGAAACAAAGAAAGAAAGAAACTTAAACAAAATAATTATTGTCCACAGGATAGCCCCTCTTGATCTTGCTTCCTCTAACCCTAAACATTTAACATAACTAGTATGCCAACCTGTCTTTTTAAAATTCCCAATGGAAAAGTTTATAACATGAATGTAAAACAGGCTATATAAAAGCATGGGATAACCTACAAAGAGACAACTTATTTAACTGCAGAAATACGAGTAGCAAAGATGCAAAAGGGAAATGAGGCCCAACGTGTTTTGCCTTCTGTGTGGCCTCTTCCTGAGCTTGTTACTCCCCCCTGCCTCTGTCTCTGTGCCCACTGGAGTAGGAGGTCCATAGTGTACGGTCCTGACCATGGGACAGGCCCCCAGGTGGTAGGATCTGCTCTCACTCTATATTAGTCATCAAAAGCCCAGGTCTCTTTTATTCATTGTGAGGAAAGTGGAGCCTGGGTTGTTTACTTTGTGGATATACTAGAGCTTCCATCAGGATGAAAGTCTCCTTGGAGGAAGGTAACCTGTGATTACCCTTTGAATGGGTATATAAACCTACTTTAAAAGAAGCATCAGTCTAGTTAACTGCAGTGGAAGAGTGGCTCATGCCAGGGCCAAAGTATTTGGAATTGTGCTTCGTAAGGCCAAAAGCCCAGTAAAAGAGATTCTCACGATTTTAAGGTTGCCAGGTAGCTTTTTGTCTTTTAAGTGAAAGGACAATATAATGTTAAAGACATGAATCACATTTCCAAATCATATGCTTTCATCGTAGTACTTTCTTTTCTAATTTGTGTGCAGAGAGACCTTATTAGCTTCCTCATACACTTGTATTTTTTTGCAGTATGCATCTCATTTTAAGATTTGCTTTTTCTCTTCACATTAGTAACATGCTGTATCTACTGCCATGTTCTTAAAGTATTAGAAGTCTATGTCAGAAATCACAGGCATGAAAGCTAACCAGGAGGGTGGAGACTTTCCTGTGGTGGCTGGTTTTGAGGGAAGCCCCTGCAAGAGGCCCTGTCTCCTGTTTTGTAAGATACCTCTGAGCTTCAGTGACTGCCTGAGTTTACCAGCTTCTTTTGTCTTTTTTTAAAAGGTTTTTGATATTTGTCTCATGCCCTTGCTGGAGAAAAAGAGAGAGAGAGAGAGAAAGATCACCCCTCAGAGGGGATGGCCATGCCATAATCCCTTCTCCACACTTCTGGGATTTGGGGCATGTATACACAAATGATCAGAGTGATTTTCAGACTACAGGGACTCATGGTCAGCCATGACTACTGTATTCTTTAGCAGAAATATTTCATTGTCTTCTCTCTTAATTTATTTGATCTGAAAAAAACATCCATTAATAATTTGATGATACATTTGAGTATCTTTCCTCTGAGTTATCACACAGACAAATTTGCCAACAGGAGATTTCCCAGCAACAAAACAAGTTATAATTCTGTGTGCAGGAATGGCATAGAAGCATAGTTTTGATATCACCCAATCTTGATAATAAGGAAAACAATGAAGAGTATAATTTTTTTCTTCCTTTTAGTGGTGGGTGTTAGAGCTGAGGCCAAGAATTTTAATTAGAAGATAACTGATAATTTGTTTATAGAACTACACTTGAGGAAATTAGTAAAAACACTGTTTCTCTAATCTATCGTGCCCACCTTCTATGAAGTCAAAATTTACTTACCCCTTTTTACAGGTGGGAAAGGCCATAAAAAAAGAAGAGAGGTAAATTAGTTGTTGAAAATAACAAGATGACGGAGAAATGATTAGAAGTTGCTGCTAACTCATTGTTGGCCCAAATTTTAGTATCATCCAGGAACTTGAAATGCTCACCAAGCATCTGAAAAGTCATGCTGGGTGTCTCTGTCTCTCCCTGCTTCTGTCTCCCTTTTTTTTTGGATAATTTTTCCTTTTTACATTTTTTCTATTTTGTGATTTTTTTTAAAAAGAAAAACAGTAATTACAATTTTTTTCGTGTTTTTTTTTTGTCTTTTTCCCCCTCTTTTTGTTGTTTCTCTCTCTCTTTTTCTCGTGTTTTTTTTTGTCTTTTTTTCCCTCTTTTTGTTGTTTCTCTCTCTCTTTTTCATTTTCTTTTTTCTTGTCTCTCCACCCTCCAATATCCATTTAATGTGTTTTTAGATGGATCTAAGAGCACTGTAGCTAAACATCCAAATACTAATAGGGTTAAAATATTCCT